TTCGGGTCAAATGCTCCCGTACCTCACAAAGTGATTTAAAAAATTTACTAAAGCCCCAAACGTTAATTTTCATCAAATGTGGCAATGAGATAGTTCTCAGAAGATCTATGAAATAAATTCTAGGCTGAAGCACGTATTTCATGAGAACATTTTGAAAAAATGGGTTGAAGATGAGATTAGTGTGCTCCCAATCTAAAACCGTTTGGACTTTTTGAGAAAAGTTCTTCTATGAAAATCTTTTCAGTGAGAGCACATCCCTTCTTACGAAATTTGAAGGTCACAAGTGTAGAAAAATTTGATAAGAGTCGTAGGAATTTGAGTGCTTCCTTTATTCCATTGAAATCCATCACCATTCGGGCGAGAATTTTGTGAATAGTATATACGAATGCTAGGCGTGCTAGGCGCAGACATTTGAGGAGTTTCGGAAATGTTGTAGGATCTTTCTGCTTATAGAAAGAAAATATACTAGTGCTTATTTATCACAGAGTTGTGCGCTTGTCCTAGCAAATCAAACAGGCAGAAGCTTCTAATAATTTGATTGCCTTTCCGTAAAACATTGTTTTCTTTTAGAGAAAACCTTGTCACTTTGTGAGATCAAATATCAGACTGAAGAACGAGAAAAGGTAAAACAAACATGTAAAAAAGTGATTGTTGACATATGAACTTCCGTGGTTGCTGTGACCTCGTATTATTTGCTTTTACTTTTAAGGTTTTCAATAGAGCAAAAGAACTCACATGGGCAAGGATCATCTTGCATGTACACATAAGTGCGATCTCCTGTGATAATTCCATAACCGAATGCTACCTGTAATAATTGTTATGTTGAGTAAGACATCAAAAAAAGTGCAAGACGTTTTTGTAGCAACCTTTTCTCCTCCTTCTTCGCTGTTTGTTCGGAATTTTTCTTGAAGACTGAACGATGACGAATTCCCAGCTTGAGCGGTTCGTTGGACTGTAATGCGGAAATATACGATATCATAAAGCAGGTATCATATACCCGAACGCAGCCCAGGTGAAAGCTATTCGTCGGGTAAAGGCAATAATGGGTTATTAATCGGCTAAGGGCAGCAGTAAAGGTACGAATTATTGTGAGGGTTATAACGACTCACATTCAGTGGTAGCACAGAAGCGATTATGAGCAGATGGCGTGTCAACTGCCTGAAAATTAATTCTTTATGAATTTTGTGATTTTTCTCTTGAAAGGTCCACTTACCCATTGGTACTTTCCCATAAGTGCGTCAATATCCACATGTGGTGAAGGCAACAAACTCGACAAATAATCATGAGCTCCAGGAATATTACGAAGCATATTTTGGAAGAGACTGGGAGATCTAAATACTGTTTATTTAAGCTCCAAATTGCCCTTTATGAGTAAGCTTACTTGTCTCGGACAAGAGGTGATCCACGTGGGAGGCAGGATCCAGCTCCGGGGAGATTTCCCATGACTCCGGGCAGGACAGGGATCCCTTCCATGAAGTTCATAGACGGTAGTGGATCACGCAACCCGGAACACAGAATTATTCAATTGGTAAAAGGATGAGTCAAGAAGGTAATAGTAGCTTCGTTCATGTTAGCTTCTGGTGATTTTTGTGGAAAGTCTCTATCTTAATTTGGAGGGTTTTGAGTTAACTTCTACATTATTAATCGTATAAGGAACCCCCAAAGTAGGGAATCCCCGACACCTTTGATGTGTTCGCCATGGGATTTCTATTTTTTTGCGCAAACTTGTTTCTGTTGGTCTTTCCCGCTACTGTCACCCTCCTTTCACGCTCTCCTTTCTCTGACACACTTTTTCGCCAATTGATTGTTGGGATTGCGCTGGACTCGCTGGAGGTAGTTGATAAGTCCAACGGATTGCCTGCAAAAAGAGCGCGTAAGCCCGATTCGTGGATTTAGCCAGAAAAAGTACGGCTTACGTGGCTAAGTCGTGGAAGGCCGACTGTCGCTCGACGGTTCCTGCATCGCCGGTGGAG